GAAAATTTAGGTTTGCCATCACAGGAATAAATTACATTTAAAAAATTTCAAAAATTAAAATAGAAACCAGTTTTTCTTATTGTAATAATACTTCACAATATTACTGTTTTACTGTATTTTTGAAAATACATTTAGCCTTGGTGAGCATAAGAGACTTCAATCAATAACAGAAAATTTTACAGACTCCAAGCTTTGAAACGTGTTATTTTATTTATTGTGCCTATACAATACATTATAAAATAATTTAAACACAAGACAATTAAGGATTATTAAGGATTATACAAGTGCACTAATTAAATCAATTTATTCAACAATTCTAAATCCTATATTAAGATTAGAAATAGTTCCCAGGACACAAATACCAGTTACAAATCCTTTTAAACGTTTTTTTAAGTAAATAATTGAATCCTGTTTAATATAACACTCAATGTAAAAGCTTAATTACTGCAGATAAACTCTATGTTTGTCTCAGAGAGATAATAATTAATATCACTCAGTTGAGTTAAAGCCGTAGACTGATATTTATTACAGATGGCCACCAGAGGGAAGTACTAACCACTTCTGAGAGAATAAAGCAAGAACGCTTGCTCCTTCATCCATCAGATCAAGATCAAACACTATATCAGAATTATTTCGATAATCAGTGATAAAATTGACTCTAATCTTCATTTATTTAATAATAATGGTTATGATGATGGTGATGTTGATGATGATTAGGCTACAGCATATGTAGTAGCTGATACCATTACTGTAACGCAAATAACGACAGTAACTGCATTAATTAACAATAAACAGTACAATAAAAGGGAATAATTCACATTCCCGAAAATAATCGTCGGAGTGCTTTAATGTAATTACCAGAAATAATTAATTTGGATAATTAGGACGTCTGCGGATTTATTTTATTCAACAGTTACATATTTGTGGTTGTAAATAAAATCACCCCTTCTGACACCCAACACAGACAGTTGTGAGGGGAATTTGTAAACTGTGTCAATAAGAGGCGTTGGGTTCAGGTGTAGGCTACTACAGGCCGGAGCTTCTCTGATTCATTCTCCTGCACAACTCAATGTGCATCAAAGCTCCGCCCGGAATAAGTCCGCGATGGCAAGTAGTTCCATGTGTGACTCGTTTTCATTAAATAACGTCATATCTTAAAGATATTGTTTCATTGCTGCATACATTGTCAGTGTACTGACATGTGTTACTAGAATAACTAACAAGAAACGTTTGTGTTCTGTTCATCTTTCTACGCAATGCACATTTGGCGGGAACGGGCGCATGAATATCTAGAGTACGAGAGGGGGAAAACAATCCGTAGTATTAAAACCCGCGGGAGCAGCTGTTCGAAATCTTGCAGTAAATGACAAGCAGCCGCTCGGGTGCTGTAGTCGCAGAAGTGCGCAGGTTGAGCGACGCGACCCACTCCCACTTTGGACTTACATTCACTTAATAGTTCACACAAACTGACATCTGACCATATTGTCAGTTTTCATTCAGTTTCACCACAGCTACGGTAAGTCTGTCTGAATTATGATGTATGCTCATTCTTTACGTTTTTATCTAACGTATTTATTTGTGCATATATATTTGGCGAACTATTGGTCATTAGACCAGTTGGACCGTAAGATAAAGACTACATTCTTAGAATTTAGATATTTTAATTTAAGTTTACATGACTTGTGTTCTGTATTACTTAATACGTAACACATTCAGTAAGTTGATGAGTTTGTAGGACAACTGTACTCTACTGAAGTTTAGGCTTGAGATGAATTTTAACCATAATGTAACGTTATTCTTCACAGGCATTCACCATGCCGCTGAATTCAAGTATGGCGAGTAAAAATTATGATTACGACTACGACTCCTACCAGCCCTATTTCTATTTCGACAACGAGGATGAGGATTTCTATAATCACCAGCACGGGCAACCACCGGCGCCCAGTGAGGATATGTGGAAGAAATTTGAACTGCTCCCCACTCCGCCGCTCTCCCCGAGCCGGCGTCCCTCACTGTCAGACCCCTTCCCCTCCACTGCCGACCAGCTGGAAATGGTTTCGGAGTTTCTCGGGGACGACGTGGTCAACCACAGTTTTATTTGCGACGCGGACTACTCCCAGTCTTTTCTGAAGTCGATTATCATTCAGGACTGTATGTGGAGTGGTTTCTCCGCCGCGGCAAAGCTGGAGAAGGTGGTGTCGGAGAGATTAGCGTCGCTCCAGGCGGCGAGGAAAGAGTCTTCCATGTCCAGCCCTAACGTCAGCTACCTTCAGGACATGAGCACCCCTGCCTCACAGTGCATTGACCCGTCAGTAGTGTTTCCTTTTTCGTTGACTGACAGTTCAAAGCCGTGTAAACCGTCATCCACACAGACTTCCACAACACTGCCACTGGATACTCCACCAAATAGTGGGAGTAGCAGCAGCAGTGACGGCGATTCCGGTGAGTAATAGTCTGCTTTTTTTTAAATGCGGATTAAATGTCCTCGTTAGACTGGTCAGTTCACACTTTTAAATAAGTTTCGATTTATAAACTAATTATTACTGCGTATTGTTTTTTTTAACAATAAAAGAATCTGTGGTGGTTAAAGCGTTAATCCTAGATTGTAGCGTCAATTGCGTAGAGACGCTCACGCCCACTGCACGCTATGCTACGCTAAATTGTCTACTATGAATGAGCAGAGCTGCAAATTGACGTATTTTTTTGCTTTTTAATCCAAGTAGATGATGAAGAGGAGGAGGATGAAATCGACGTTGTCACGGTGGAAAAGAGAAAGTCTGTGAGAAAGCCTGACGCAAACGCAACGCATCAAAGCCCCGTTGTCCTCAAGCGGTGTCACGTTAATATTCACCAGCACAATTACGCCGCCCCCCCATCCACGCGGAGTGAGCAGCCTGCAGTCAAGCGGATTAAATTCGAGAGTCCCATCCGGGTGTTTAAACAAATTAACCACAACAGAAAATGCGCGAGTCCCAGGACGTCGGACTCTGAGGATAACGACAAACGTAGGACTCATAACGTGCTCGAGCGGCAACGGCGTAACGAGCTCAAACTCAGTTTCTTCGCGCTGAGAGACGTGATTCCGGACGTGGCGAACAACGAAAAAGCTGCCAAAGTGGTGATACTCAAGAAGGCGACGGAGTGTATAGCGACCATGCGAGAAGATGAACAAAGACTGATCTCACTTAAGGAGCAATTAAAGAGAAAATGTGAACATTTGAAACAGAGACTTGAGCAGTTAAGCAGTTCTTAAATTGCTTGGACTTAATTTATGGACTGAACTTGTTTTTAAGCATCCTTGTATGGTCACGTCAATACAAGGTCTAGAGGGTGTGGCAAGTAGTGAGCAATCTGTTTTTTGATTTATACAATTACACTGCCTCAATTTGAACGTAATGGAGGTTAGATTTATTTGTATTTAATTTTATTTTTATTAATGATATGGTCTGCGGTACCGTTTACTGTTGGCCTTAACTTAATGTTTTGTTTTTGTAAGTTTTGTACATATTGCACATATGTATTCAAGATGCTGTTGATTTCTGAATCATAAAATGCATTTCTCTATAAAACTGTGTTTTTGGCTAATCCTGTCTTCAATGTGGACTTGTTACTTTTTGCCTATTTCAGTCTCATGATGACCCACTTTAAAGCCTTCAATTAGGTAATCCATTAAGAAGATACCGTCATGCACTCATTTGATGTTTAATGGATTTGGCATACTTTTAGTGTATGTAAGACTCTGTTTTACATATAATTTACCTTGGCAATGTCATCATCTGTTTACAACTTTAGGATGACTAATGCTTGTCAGAATTACATTCTCTCTTTACAAGCATCAAAGCCAGTGCCTTACGTAAAGCCACTTAGGCTGAGTCACACATCTACATTGATTTTGTTTTAGATAACTGCATTTTATTCTACAAGAAAATAAAGATGAGTGTCTGATTTTGAGAGTACCTAATGAGAGTAATTAAAGGGGTCATGATGTTGCTAAAAAGAACATTATTTTACAGATCTTCTTTATTCACCAAGAGCTTGTAACACTTCAAAGAGAAAGGAAAAATTGAAATCGCATCATATGACCCCTTTAATTTATCTATATATTTTACTATAAAACTGCTGCTTTAATATGTTATGAAAAGCATTATCATTGGCATTTAACTTAGTAAGAAGAGCTCTGATGCACCTGCTGCACAAAAAGATGTCACCTTTCCTTAAGTAGAGCAGTTTTGAAGACCATGCTGGCATAGGGAGTATCATAAGGAGAGCAGCTTATTCTTTCCTTCACCTTCAACTCAAAAGTGCCATGTTTGTTAAAAGTGGGTGAAGGGTTTGGTAGATGACATACAGTATATGCTCCTTTTCATACTCAGTTTTAACTTTTAGTTAATTTTCTCTTGTTGTCCTGCTAAGATTATGGAAACAGTACTGGATGGATGAGGACAAAATCACAGACTAAATATGTGCTGTGCACATATTTATCTTTTATAAACTTGCCTTAGAAAAAACATTTTACTGGTGTGCATCTTGAGACAAATCAATAGTACTAACATATTTTAAGATATGTCAGTGCAAGTTTCATACAGTTAAAAGAGAACAGACATGCATTTTAGTCTGGGACTAAGCCTTGTCTGTGAAACATGATGAATGAATATTTCACAGACAACATATACATGGGGTATGAATATTACATTCTTTATGGCAGGTAAGTGTTTTGATGACCAAACCTGGATCCATGTAGATAAACTCCCAAAGAAGGAAGTCGAAGAGTCCTGAATAAGTGAAATCTACCACAGACAGCCTCTTCTTGTCGTCTTCTTGACAGGTTGTCATTTAGGGTAAAAGTTTTAGTGTCAAGCACTGTGGTATTTACAATCACTGTTAGGATGATAATGAAGCTAAATAGTCTATGTAGGGTAAAATACCGAGCCACAAGTTAAATTATAATTGTTTTGTAGAGTAATAGATGAAGTTGTCGTGCGGTGACGTCAAGCCCTGATCAGACTCTATGCAAAGCGCCCCACGATGCGCGTGCTGCTGAGAGCACAAGGAGGAGAGAGGAGGACGGACACTTAGCAGCCTGGCTAATGTAGCCTGTGGGGTCGCAAAATATTTGTAAATACATTTATTTGGAAATGAACAACACTTCAGATCTGGAAATCGGACTGGGTTGCCTAAGGCGTTCAACGTGGTAAGATTCTTATCCATTGTTGCGTTTAAGGTATATCCAGTAGTTTTGAAACAAAATCTTAGCTTTAGCAAAACTGTGCTCGTGTTGTTTTGTGCCACAGGTGCAAGGATTTAATTCCGTTTCATAAGCAGTAATCAATATCGATTTGAATGGGAAAGTCGAAACTATTTGTTTTAAAGCATTATTATTATTTTTAACTAGTAACATTTGTTTTATTATACATTCATTTGGGCAATGAACTTTGTACGTTTATAAATACTGATTTATTCTGATTTGTCAAGAGCTTTTTCTCTTGACTTAATGCCACATAATATTGACACTTGCAGTTTTCTAAAAACGTTTTATGTTGGCATGACATTAATGTGACTGTTATTGATAGTTTTTATGTTACCTATAGAAAACATTCTGCTGATAACAACTTTATAGACTTTATATAGAGTTTGTGTCTAGTTGCTTCTGTCTTCTAGAAATGGTTATGAAAGCTATTACAGTGAACTGTCTACGTTTTTGTTAAAGGGGTCATATGATGCGATTTAAAATGTTCCTTTCTCTTTGGAGTGTTACAAGCTCTTGATGCATAAAGAAGATCTGTAAAGTTGCAAATCCAAAGAGATATTCTTAATCTCTAAAATAAAAGTTAAGTCAACCACGCCTACCTAAAACGGCGCTTTGTTGAAAACGACATGTTTGAGAGAGGCGGGGCATAGAGGACCTACAATAATGTACAGTATTTGAAAAATAATGTGTTTTTTGAACATTAAAGCATGTCAACATATTCTGTTACACCAAATACACAAAATAATGATCTTTAAAATAGCATCTTTAAAAGAAACTTTAAAAGAAACAATTTGCTAAAAGGTTACAATATTATCCTGCCAAAATGGAGGGTTTTCTTTCATGTGCATATTTTATCAATTTAAATAATTTTTTGTGCAAGTCAGCAAGCAGGTCCTTTGATATGATTTATGGTATAATGCATTAAATGTACCATTAAATGCCTTTACTAGAAAAAGGCCTCACAACATTTTAATCAGGTTTGCAGATTTATTCTGTCCTAATTTGAAGGTCTTGTCATTGTCACTGTGTAAGCAGTGCCTGTCTTCCCTTGGAACAGTGTGTTGACGGAGTTCATAAATTATTTTCTAAGGCACTCGGCCTATCATTGGAGTTAGGACTACTCTGTAAGAGATTTATGATCTTATAGAGCAGAGGTCCCCAACCACTAGTGTTGTCACGGTTCCAAACGTAACCGGTCCTTGGTGTAAAAAAGGTTGGAGACCCCTGATCTAGAGGATGGTGGTGGATGGTCATAAGGAGGTTCCCTCTACAGTTATGTAATGTCAAAATAAGTCACAATGTACTGTCTTCATGGTGCTATCAGAGACGGAATGGGAGAAAGTAAAATCCTACATATGTGAATAATACAGCGACTATAGGACAGACGTTCTAGACGTTCTATTTCTTTCTTCTGTGGAACACAAAAATGTTTTTGTCCATGCAGTAAAAGTCAACAGGGTGCTGAGTTGTTTTGGACCCCATTGTCTTTCATTGGGACCAAAGCAATTGAAACATTCTTCACAATATTTTCTTTTGTGTTCTGCAGAAGAAAGAAAGTCATAGATGTTTGAAAGGACAAGAGGATGATGTACAGTACAGTAAATGACAGAATTTTTATTTTTGTGTAAACGTTCCCTTCCAGTTGTCCTGTAAGACTGCTGACACTTACAAACGTGCATCTCATCACTGATGCAGGAGCATTGTATGGATCTGTAAATTAAAAGGAGCGTACTTGCCTGTGCACAACTGTTCCATAGCTTTAACATGTCCCTTGAGAGCAGACCTAACTCAATCAGATAGCTTAGATTTCAGTCTGTTACTTTGTGGTTGAACGGTCACTATGATTTGAGTGATCCATGCATGGGCCATTGGGCCCCCTTTTCAGTGCAACTGAAATTTTCAGTTTAGGATCATCTGTGTTGACCTGAGGTCTGGTTGATGACCATATTTACAGGGAAGGTCTAAATGGCACAGCACCCTCAAGATGGTTGACATATAATTTGTCTCTCATATAAACTATATACTGCTGACTTCATTATTCATTGGTCATGAAGCATTGATTCATATGCACCTGGGGAGATGTAGCAGCTGGTGGAGCATACAGAAATGATTGCTGCAGCAACATGGCTGAATTAGTTTTGATTAGATGAGCGTGAATGTTGAACTGAATGCGCTGGATGGCACTTTGTCGAAGTTAATGATCCAGAAACAGAGCTGGCTGGTTGTTCTCCTATATGGGAACACAAGTTAGTGCTTACTGTTTGGTTAAGACCATCACAATTCTATCGGATCCCGTTATGTAGCCTTATTAATGGGTTTCCAAGAGTTGAGTGGACATTATTGTGATAAAGTGGTTTGCATAATGCCGGGTTCAGACTACACAATATTTTTGTCGGTCACGATAGTCACTGTGTCAGATTACATGATTCTGACTCCTAAAATCTTGTCGTGGCATGGACAAGAAACATGTCAGACTACACGTTGCTTCCCGACCATCGCGTGCTGTCTTTAACGACGCGTGTGATGTCATCGAGAAGGCGGAACTAGCGACTGACTTCCAAAAACAAGAGTGTAAACATTGCTGAAGCGCTTCCGCTATAGTTCGCCAGCATTTTTCTTTCTTTGTTCTGTCGTGGTAGTCCCTAGATGACACATCATACAGGCAGGAGTACTGTTACCACAGCTCCACGAACCTTTCCTCCATCTCATAATTCCACCTAGCAGCACCATCATCTCTCTTTCGTTTTGCCATGTTTGAAACCTGTGTATGAAAGAGTGCTGCTATTGGTCAACGTCACCATTGTGACAGAACTCGTCGTGGACGACGGAAAAAAAATTAAACATGCTAGTCTTTCTGTCGTGATGTCGTGAAGCATCGCAGACGCGGAATCGGTTGTTGTCCACTATGACACACTACACGCGCGGAAATGATGGAATCTTGCGTCCCGACGCCCATTGTCGTTTACGAATCCCCACGACACCCTACGTCAAGCAAATCGTGGCAAAATCGGGCTAAAATCGTGTAGTCTGAACCGGGCATAAGCTGAAGCTCAAACCCGATCTGAAAATGATCAATATTGAGGGTTCCAGACTAAAAAAATGACTAGGAAGTCATTAGGTAAAATGGCATTTTAATACTTCGGAGCTAAATGACTTTTATGACTTTTAATTGACAAAATACAGATTTATTAAGTATAGATAGTTGCTCAGAAGTGATTTAGTTCTCTTTTCATACTGTCACTCTAGTGACAATCCTGATTGTATTTCTGTCATTACTGTTTTGGACAGTACAAATTTTTGCTAAACAATAGCCAGTAATATTTTTGCGAAATATGTAATTATTGGATATTTTAGTGAATAATTTTATTTAGAATGCTCTTTGTTACAGCAGAATAGTTTTGAATATATATCTTTAATTACAAGTAGCTAACAGTTCCCGGTTAATTTAGGATCATACATAACCAAGAATCGATTCATGATTCAGCGGGGGGTTCAGTTACAGCTATAATCGATTCACCACTACTTTATGAGCCAGTTTCGTGAGTCTTTTTGTACTAACTCACTAAAAAGAACCAATTCATAAGAGTCATTTATTTGTCATGTTCATGACAATTTCAGTTGCAGTATGGAAGCCTTTATGGTCAAATATTAATACTAAACACGAAATCACGTCTGCATCCAAAAATCGCATACTTCCCTACTACATAGTAGTAGGACTGCACGATTATGACAAAAATCATAATTGTCGATTATTCCCTTGAAATTGTAATTGAGATTATTAATTACGATTATCACCATTTACATTAAATTGTTTATACCATTGTTTGATGCGACTGCATGCCGTATTTTTATATGAAAATAAGCAAGCTGAAAACACTCTAACTTAAAACCTTTAGTGCTTTTCTATAGTATTAAGCCTCAAATGTCAAATATACATCGGATTGGTTTCTTCTTTAAATTATAAAAAAAGTTAAAATATGAATGGTATTATAATGTTATACTAAAACTAAAACTAAAACAATGGGAAAACCCTTAAGATAACATGTAGAAAGAAAAAAACATATCTTAAGCGTGCAGAATAACATAAGTGGACTTTGAACGATTAATTGCCGCTTTGAACGATTACGTAATTGTGGGATCCATAATTGTAATTGCAATTAGAAATTTGATTAATTGTGCAGCCCTACATAGTAGGTGAAAAACAGTGTGAACAGAGTAATATGTCAGAATTCACAGTATTCATAAAACAGAAGGCAGAAAGTCACCAGATGACCTACTATGTACGGCGAGTTTCTGAAGTGGCTTCTGATGGACACTTTACTATCCCACGAGGCCACGGGAGAAGGCAGTGAAGTGACAACGCAACTGACGCTAGTAGGTTACATGACAATGACAGCATGACAGATGTAGTACATCCGGAATACATTCACAATACACAAATTCATACTATACAGAACAGAGGTCTTTAACCCTGCTCCTGGGGATCCGCTGTCCTGCAAAGTTTATTTCCAACCTGCTTAAGCACTCCTGACTGTGTATTTTCAAGCAATCTTGAGGAGCTTGATTAGTTGCTTCAGGTGTGTTTGATTATGGTTGTAGCTGGACTGCAGGACAGTGGGTCCCCAGGAACAGGGCTGAAGACCTCTGATACCCACTCAGACAGTCTGCATTTCTAGATGCAGCCTCACTTTTTTATTCCCACCCTCAGTGATTAAAACCAGAAGCACTGTGATTCTTGCAGGCGCGGTTGTACAGTGCTTTGCTCTGACTCATAGATGGTGTATGCACAGAATGTTTTTCATTAAATATTAAAGATTAATACGTTTTTTTTCTTTTACATAAATTACAAACTCAAAGTTATTCTTTAAAAAAATGGTTCACCCTAACAGCAGACATCATAATGGAAACATTATTTTCATCTGTAGTGAAAGTCAGGCTGCAGT